ATATAATTGTATCTGCAACTGTATTTGATAATGTTTTGAACTTTTAAAATATTGCATGATAAAAACAGAAGGTGATCTTCATTTTAGTGACAAACTTTGGTGTTTTTTTGATGAGTTACTTTCATTTTTGGTTCTACTTTTCATTTAAAATAAGTTTCCATTCTCAGCAGGTTTCTAAGGTTCTTCTACATATTAAAAAAGTTGTTAAACAACTGAGTGGTGCACTACTGCTACTAGTGGTGAGAAAGTGAATTGCACCATATTCAAAATCAATGCTTTCCCACGGCCCTCTGCGGCCCAAAGTTAAAAACTGTTGTTCTTTTGAGACCCTGAAGGTGGCGCTCGCAGCCCACGGGTTAAGAATCTCTGTATTAGAATGAAGTTCAGTCTAGATGAGGGTAGGAACGTGTTTAAATGTGTTGCAGGCTTCACAACAGCAGAGCACACTGTGATGGTAGAGATTCTGCTCGCAGCAGCTCGTCAGGCCTCYGAGGGACCGGCGCTGGCTGGAAGGACTGGAACCAAGAAGGTCATTTCTGATGAAACAGAACTCTGCCTCACTTTAAATTAGACAGAATCATTCTGAAACACCTTTGCTTTCTTCAGGCACTGAGCATCAGGGAGAAGAAAAGTCAAAGTGACGACTGTTTAAAGCTGACTGAACATCTCCTCGTGGTGCTTCCCCAGTTAATCTCCAAGGTGTTTATTCCACGTGCAGCCAGCTGGGATAGGCTCAAATCTCTATTCCTCATTCGGCTGCAGTAATATCTGCTCTCTCATTTGTGCAGTTTTCCTGTAGCAGTGATGTTGTTGCCTCCCTGATGAAGATTCCTCAGTATTTCATCTCAGATTGTCCAGAGGCTGAAAACACACAGGTCTGCACCACCGCTCATCCCTACACCCCCCCTTCACACCGATTGAAATGATCYACATAAATATCATGAAATGTAGCTGAAAATAAAAACCAAACGTTAAACACGAGACCTGCTGGTTCTGCAGCTGGTTTCCAGTCTGATGGTGGAGATGGCAGCTGTTTTGGACCTGCACTCGACCCCTGCGGTTCTGGAGGCGGCAGCCTGCACGTACCTGAGCCTGTGCAGCGAGCGAGCAGCCTGGTGCTCTGTGGCTAAAGCTGCGCGGGACTCTCTGGTCCAGCTCTGGGTGGAGCAGCTGACGGAGCTGCTCAGGGTGAGGAACGCTGCTCATTTGTAGGACCAAAGGTAGACAGACTTCCTTTCTGTTTAAAATCACTGGCTTTTCAAATCACCTGTGAACCAAAAGGTTAAACATGTCTGCCAGGTGTGCWAACAGCTTTGACCTTAACTGTAAAGAGGTGTCAAGTAACTAAGTACAAATACTTTACTTAAGTAGACATTTCGGTTATTTTTACTTTAGTGGAGTAATTAATTTTCAGCCTACTTTTTACTTTTACTCTTTACATTTTAATTCAATTATCTGCACTTCCTACTCCTTACTTTTTAAAAATGCAAAAAGTATTTCATTTCTATTGAACTTTGACTTGTTTTTATTCCATCTTTTCATTGTTCAGAAAAATAAATTAATAGAAATCTATCCAGATACATGGAGCCCTTGGATTGAATGAGTCTGATTGTGGTTGGATGAGAAGTGTAAATATAAACCATTCTGACATCTTATTGGACTGAACTCACTGCAACACATTCCAGCAGGACTGTAGCCTAGCATGAAGATGATCATGGCTGAAACAACTAGTCTAGTCAGTTAAAGGCACAGTGTGTAGGATTTGTTGTTTTCAGCGACATCTAGTGGTTGAGTGGTTGAATCATCCTCCCTGGTCC